GTGAGGTGGAATTCTCCAGGAGAGGGATGTGAGGTGGAATTCTCCAGGTGAGTGTTGTCAGCACCTTAAACTCTGGACACAACTTGTGCTTAAGAGTTTGCAGGTTTACAGAACCATCAAGGTTGAAAGAGACCTTCAGGATCACCCAGTCCAACCACCCCAGCACCACCAGAATCACCCCTAAACCATCCCCAAGTGCTTCATCCAGGTGCCTCTTGGACCCTTCCAGAGGTCATGACTCCACCACCTCCCCGGATAACTTATCCCAATGCCTGACCACGCTCGCAGTGGAAAATCTAATCTCTAATTTGAACCTCCTCTGGTGCAATTTATCCCAGGATCACAGGTTGGAAAAGACCTCTGAGATCATCGAGTCCAACCCTTGACCCAACCCCACCTTGTCCCCCCCACCATGGCACTGATGCCACATCCAGGCTCTGCTTAAACACCTCCAGGGACGGGGACTCCACCCCCTCCCTGGGCAGCCCATTCCAAGGGCTGATCCCTCTCTCTGGGAAGAACTTCTTCCCCATGGCCAACCCAAACCTGCCCTGGGGCAGCTCCAGGCTGTGCCCTCTTGTCCTACTGCTGGTTCCTGGGAGCAGAGCCCGACCCCCCCCGGCTCCCCCCTCCTGTCAGGGAGTTGCAGAGAGTGAGAAGGTCTCCCCTGAGCCTCCTCCTCTCCAGGCTGAGCCCCCCCAGCTCCCTCAGCTGCTCCTCACAGCCCTTGTGCTCCACACCCTTCCCCAGCCTCGTTGCCCTTCTCTGCCCCTGCTCCAGCCCCTCAACATCCTTCCCAACCTGAGGGCCCAGAGCTGGGCACAGCACTCGAGCTGTGGCCTCCCCAGTGCCCAGGGCAGGGGCACAATCCCTGCCCTGCTCCTGCTGCCACACTATTCCTGAGCCAGGCCAGGCTCCATTGGCCTCTTGCCCCCCCTGGGCCCCCCTGGCTCATGTTCAGCTGCTGTCAGTCAGTCCCCCCAGGGCCCTTTCTGTCCCCCCACTCTGTCCCAGCCCGTGGGGCTGCCGGGGGTTGTTGTGGCCAAAGGGCAGGACCCGCCCTTGGCCTGGTTGAACCTCATCCCATTGGAATCAGCCCATGGATCCAGCCTGTCCAGGTCCCTCTGCAGAGCCCTCCTGCCTCCCAGCAGATCCACACTCCCCCCCCACATGGTGCCATCTGCAGATTTGCTGATGGTTCACTCAGTCCCCTCATCCAAATCATCAATACAGACATTAAACAGGGCTGGGCCCAACACTGAGCCCTGGGGACACCTCCAGTGTCCAGATCCCAACAGGATACATCTCCATTCCCACCACTCTCTGAAGTTTAAGGCCATTTCCTCTCCTGTCACTTGAGGCAGAAGAGCCCGACCCCTCCTCACCACAACCCCCTTTCAGCCAGTTGTGGATTCCCAGAGATTCAGCAAAGAGAAAATCCTTCCCCAGCATGTTTATTAAGAATATTTTGCAGGCAGAGTTTCCTTGGGCTGAGTTGGATATAATTTTTGCTGGCATGACAACTTCAGATTAGAGCTGGCAGGATTTAGTGCTTCATCTCTTTGTATTCACCTCAGTCAATAAGGCAGCAAATTTATTTAGTGTCCAGAGCCAGTTTACTGTCTGTCTGGTGCATTGTTTCACAGTTTAAAATGGCAATACATCTATAGATCTATTTTGAAATGAATGACTTTCAATACCCAGGGAGAAGGATGAGAAAACCTGTTTGTGCTGGTACTGACAGAGAAATGAATTTCTCCACCGACTTGAGTTTCAGAGGTTTGATTATTTTTTTTCTTAAGAAAGTTTTCTGATTGCTAAGTTTCCCCAGTTAATCCTGGGAGAGGCAATGGAAAAGAATTAGATGTTGTAGATCCCTTTCTTTAGCACAGGAATGGCACCAGGCAAATCTTGGTGGCATTAACACCCAAAATGTGAGTGGCACTTGAGGGGAAAGGTGGCTCCCAGGTGCAAGATCTGAGGCAAACCTGTCTGGGCGGAAAGGGAAGGAGAGAATGGACAGTTAGAAAATGTCCAAGTGGGATAAACTTTCTCCAGGGAAAATTTAGGGAAAATTTTGGCTTCTATCCCACTTTATTTGGTGTGTAGCTGCATGTCAGCCTTGTCTGAGATCTGAAATGAGAAAATAACTGGGCTCTGTCCCTTCTCTCCTTTTTCTCTGGCAGGTGATTATATCTCTTGGAGAACCTGTGGCCTGGAATTAGTTTATCCATGAGCTTTGACCTCCAGCCCATTCCAGGCCCTGCTTGAAGCCCCAGGGGAGTGGAGGGGGGTATGAGTTTGCTTAAGCCTTAATTAAAGAGATTTAGATCTTGCAGTGCTCTGTATAATATGTATATTATGCATTAATATATTAATGAATATATAAAAGAATCCTAATTTAACACATAAACTTAAAAATAAATGGGTTAATTAATGAAGTGTAATGGGCCATTTAGAGCAGAAAATGGGTGTCATTGAGAGCAGTTTTCAGATCTCTTGGGTGCTCAAGAAATGGGCAGTGAGAATTCCAAGACATTATTTGTAAATAATTCCTGGTAGTGAAGTGAACAAAGGCAGCTGAAACGTGGAAGTGCAGCAGGGTTGGGAGTGGAATCCATTTGCAAAGCCCATTTTGGGGTTTTCTGGGTCTTGTGTGAATTCCAGCTTTGCTGATCCACTCCTCCCACCCAGGAAAACCCACCAGTGTGTCTCCTAAAAGTATAATTAGCTCAGATTTTACCTGATGAAGCATCTTTGCCAGGTTTTGTCCTCAGAGATGAGTGCAGTTCATCCTGGCTGGTTTATCCCGTTTCACTGGGATGGATCCGAACCCAGCTGGGAATTTTCCAGTCCTGCTCTCCCAGCTCCAGGAGAACTTTCCCCACCTTTAACCCAAAGAACAAACTTTATGTTCTGTACACCTCATGTCAGATTTACAGAGGCTTTTCCAGCTGCCAGGAAGGAAACAGGATTGTTTTGTGCTGAGGAAACACATCCCAGAGCTGAACCAAAAACGTCCAACTCCAAAAAGAGGGAACTGTGGGAGCTCCGTGGCTGGAAGGAAAAGGCATCATCCCCACTCCTGTGCCCCCCAGAAATCCTGGCATCACCCACCAGGGAAAAACAGCAACCAAACCACATCCTGTGCCTCAGCAGCACAGTCAGCAGTGACATTTTGGATCCACCCACACACAAGTGAGATTATTCTCTTTCCTCAGGGCAGAAATGCCCCTCTCCTTGCTGTGGTTTACAGCTGATTTTGGGTAGGGAACCCCTTCTTACACTGCAATCACAAATGTATTTATGCATCACATTTATTTGAGATTATCATTTCTGGATCATGTGCACTGCGTGTTTTATATGGAGTACATTGGTTTTGTACATTAAAATCTACGTTTACTACACAACTGCTTCTAAAATCTACAAAAGTTACAAAATCCAAAAAGCTCTGAGGCATCAGTTTACACAGAGCACTTAATTTGTGGCCCTGCTGGCCATTCCAGCTGGATTATATTCCCACAAGGGACTAAGTAAGCAGTCATTTACATGGATTGTTTGTACTGCAAAATATTCCTGATCCAGCTGGACAGAGAGAAGGAAACCTGCTTAACTTCCCTGTTATTAGTTAATTTATTTGTTGTTTCCTCTCTGTGAGATCAAATATCAGAGCAGGGTGTATTCCCAAACCAAATAAATTTCACCTTATTAGGTGCCTTATGGTAACCAATACAGGCTAAAAAAAGTTAGTTGGAGCAATGATTTCACACACCTTTGTGTGGGTTTTCTCCCAAACAATTCCTTCCCAAATACCACTGGGATCTGCAACAAGTTTTTCTTCCCCCTTATTGGATATTCACTTGTTTTCTGAGTTTACTTAAAGTCCCAGGACAAATTCTTGGCAAAAAAAAAAAAAAAAGATGTTATTTTTGCTGAAACTGTAGAGTAAATACTCATTTTTATACTAGGAAGGAATTCTCCCCTGTGAGGGTGGGGAGGGGCTGGGCTGGAATTCCCAGAGAAGCTGTGGCTGCCCCTGGATCCCTGGAAGTGCCCAAGGACATGTTGGAGCAACTTGGGCTGGTGGAAGGTGTCCCTGTCCACGGCAGGGGTGGCACTGGATGGGATTTAAGGTCCCTCCCAACACAACCCATTCTGTGTTTCTATGATTTTAAACAATCCAGACAGGAATGTGGACTGGATTCCCAGTTCTCCCACAGCAGAGCAATCCCATGGACTTTCCTGGAGCACTGTGAGTCTCAGCCAACTGAGAATGTTGATATTTGATATTTTTTTGATATTTTTACTTCCATATGAGCATGTTTGGATTTGCAGCCGTGCTGCCAGATGAGTTTTATTCCTGGCTGGGTAATTCCCCCCCACTCCTGGGTTTATCCTGCTCTGTGGTGAGTGGAACTGTGCAGCTCCAGGGATTAGCAGATCCACGGAGCATTCCTGGCTTTATGAGTTTCTCATCAATGCCAGAGATAAGCATTTCATACCTGGGAGCCATCAGGTGCTCCACCTGTGTGGAATGGTGTGAACATCATCCCTTAGGAAGCTAAAGCTGGAAAAACCCAGCAATCACTCTTTCTGCTCCACTGAAGCTCCTGATTCCCCAAGAAGTTTGAGAGACTTTTTCCTTTGCTTTAAAAAAAACCAAAAAACAAAAGCTAAATTAATTGGAAATGACAAGAGGAAAATGATCCAGCTGAATGCTTTGATAAGCAATCAAGGCTTAATAGATTAGAAAATATAATTAATTACTTAATTATGCTCTAAGTGGTTGTTGTTGGTAGATTGTTCAGTGAAAAGCCATTGTTGGGTGGGAGGAGGTGCCCGTTGCATGAAGATCAGGAGCCAGGGAGCCTTTGCTGCTGGCAGGGACTCCTGGTGAGCACAAGGGTTGTTCCACACCTTCTCCAAAGGCTTCCCAAGCAGGTCCTTCCCCCCGAGGGTGGTTGGCACTGAAAGGGCTCCCCAGGGGTTGGTGTTGGCACTGAAAGGGCTCCCCAGGGCTGGTGTTGGCACTGAGGCTGCCAGAGCTCAGAGGGTGTTTGGACAAGGCTCTGTGTGCCAGGGTGGGATTTTTGGGCTCTCTGTGCAGGGCCAGCAGTTGGATGGATGATCCTGGTGGGTCCCTCCCAGCTCAGGATATTCCCTGATTCTGGGATTCTCCTGGTGGAAGCACCCGAATGTGATGCCCGGCTCAATTTGCAGCTCGAGGAGCTTTCCCAGTTTGGTGCCTGCAGAGGAAACCTGAAATGTTGGTGTGGATAAACTCCAAACCTGTCCCACTGCCCTCTCTCCCACCCCACTGATTGGAAGGGAAGGAAGAAGAATAAAATTATTTAGTCTTGGGAATGGGATTTTTCCTGGGCTAATGCAATGAATTTGGGAAGGATCCATCCATCATTTCATTGGCCTTGAGCCCAGCAATACCTGCTATTCATTGGAAAAAAAATCACATTTTAGTATAAAACTCTTATTAAGTGTTCTTGTGGCGATCAGTGGAGTAAAGGGAATGAACTGGAGCATGGAATATGTGTGAGTGACCCTGTGTGTGCATGTGGAAGTGCAAGGGGGCTGATTTCCCTGGATCAGTGGTGCTGCTGCCTCTCCAGGTGCTCTCATGTGTCTTTCTCTTGAGGATTCCAAAGGAGCTGCTTCCAAGGCTGCTCCAGGCTCAGCTCTGGCTGGCACTGGGACATCCTGCTCCTCTCACTGGTGTGTCCCAAAGCTCTCAGTACAAACTGCTGCTGTTCTGAACTCGGCACTGAAGAAGCAAAGAAAGAACTGAGCTGTCCAAGGATCCTCAGAGACAAAGGCAGGGCCTGAGGCCCAGGCAGCATTTCCAGCTTGTGGTGCCACTTCTTCAAAGCAGAGAAATTAAAACAGAATCCTTAAAATGTGCTTCTTTTTATTTAAGGGATTGTTGCCCACAGAGGTTGTGGACTCCCCATCCCTGGAAGTGTCCAAGCCAGGTTGGAGCAACCTGGGCTGGTGGAAGGTGTCCCTGCCCATGGCAGGGAGCTGGATGTGCTTTAAGGTCCCTCCCAACACAACCCACGCTGTGATATTTGAAAAGGCTTTTAAGCAGAAGGTTTGTTTCAAGTAAGAAACTCAAAGATCAGCGTTTCCTTTTAAATTGCCTGCGTTCTTTTAATTCTAGAAATGACTTTGTTTCCCAGTGTGTGAAGGCTGGTGAGGAACTCCAAGTGCTTTTTGCATTGCCTTCCTTGGGAAGAGGCTGGAAGGAGCTGCTGGAAGGCTGGAGCTGCTGCTCCGTGTCTCTCAGCCCCACTCCCCAACCCTGGGGCTCACCTGGGCTCTTCATTGGGCTCATCCTCCTGGTTCTGGCTTTGACACCTCTCCCAGGGTGTCACTGCCTCCCAAACCCCACAGAGAAACCCTTCCTGTCACTGTTAAAGTTGGGACAGAGCGACACAGAATCTGCTTCCAAAGCAGGGACAGGATTACAAGATTACTTTATTGTAACAGGTTGCAAACATTTATACTTTTCACATCTCACACATGTCAACTTTCTATTGGTGCCTTCATAGATCAGGCCATCAGGCCATCCCCATGTCAACCTGCCATTGGCACTTTCATGTTTACACACGCCAGGATTGGTTGCAAAATAGTAAACCCAATTTTTGTCGAGTCATCCTGACCTGCAGAAAGCACAGGAAGTCCATTTCTGTCCTCCATCTTCTTCCTTCCTGAAAGTTGCCCATGTTGTGTTCTCCTCCTTTCAGGGGTGCACTGTAATCTGGTTTATGTCCACTGCTTGGTTGATAAATGCCAGGCTGCTGACAGGCTTGCTGTCAACCCCGACACCTTCCCTCGGGAGCTGCTCCAGAGGGGAGCAGCAGTTCCTGTGTTTGCTGCCTTTGGAACATCCCTGCTCCAACAGTTGTTCAACAGGCAGCAAAGGGGATGACTCCAGAGCAGGGCTGGAGGGCTTGGATGCAGCTGCTGGAAAAAAACAAAGATCCAGAAGAGCTGATGGAGTTTTTGTCTTTCTCAGGTTGTTTGAGCACTCCAGTAACGCAGCCCGGGTTGGGACACGGGGAAGTTCACTCAGGGTCTGACACAGGTTAAAGGGTGGAAAGGAGTGAACCAGTTTATTAAAATGGCTCCCCCTTTTATAGGGGAGCTGGGAGAACTTTCCAGAGTATGGTGAACAAGTGGAGGAGTTTTGGGAAGGAGGAACAACGATTGGGTGCAGAGTGAAAAAGGAGAGGGATAACAATAGAATGTGCATGAGAAGAGAGTGGAACTCCTGTGGGAACAAACCATTACAACAT